GTGGGGCGTGTTTTGGTAATACCTGTTATTCTTTTGATGTATCAACAAATGGATTTTTCATATGTAACCTGGATATACTAATTAAATATTTTTTTCTAAAAAAGCATGAATATGGAATAAGTTAATTAATTCAGTCATTTTATAACGAACACTTAATGCTCTATTTATCTTGGAAACACAAAGTTCCATAAAAGAAACAGGCCTAGAATTCCGATACGAAAGGTTATTATAGCTAAAAGCATATTGCAATCGTCAATTTTTAAGGTTGAAGTTATCCGTTCGAATAAATATTTTAATAGATGCTACATTGTAATTTTTTTCTAGGTATTTTATCTTTTTAATAGATATCAATGGATACTCATGAAGTAGCATCTGTAGACTGTTATTGATTAAACAATGTGTACCGTGAACAGTAAAATGATAAGGAAAGGGGATAAAGGGAAAGGGGGGGGGGGGGGTTATTGCATACTTACTGTTATGTTCTTCAGATAAATATTGAGTGCAACACATCATAACGAACCGTGGTATTACACTCCAATCATCTGATTTTTAAAGTTTATTCTTAAGTTGTCCTGTTACACCACTGTCCTAGGTAAGGGGACTGAGCGCTTACAAACATGTTTAACACCACCAAATTCTATATGTGCCTTTCCCAAATAAGGAGTCTGTATTTCATTGCTCATTGTTGTAGGCCGTAATGTGATCTAATGTTGCTTAAATCCGCTTCGTTTGGACTCTTCTTGATAGTTGTCTCATTGGTAATCATACCACAACTACTTATCTTATATTATATGCAACAGTATTAATAATAAGCATCTTTATGGGCATTTGCAAATCTAAATAAGCAAGAAGATCAATCAATATATCGACTACCAACCCTATGGTAATGCGACCAAATTTACTTACTGAAATAAGCCATTACATGACTTTTGAGTAAAATCTAAGTAAATTGTCTTAAATCTATTCACAATTTTTTTAATCGACTTTGGACAATTTAGAGCTTGACATTTTTTAAAAGATACTTGTTTATTATTCACTACAAGATGTAAATTATTCACCACAATATGTCTATTATTCACCACAAGATGTCTATTATTCACCACAAGATGTCTATTATTCACCACAAGATGTCTATTATTCACTACAAGATGTCTATTATTCACTACAAGATGTCTATTATTCACCACAAGATGTCTATTATTCACTACAAGATGTCTATTATTCACCACAAATGTCTATTATTCACCACAATATGTCTATTATTCACTACAAGATGTCTCTTGGTTGTTTGTGTTGTTGGATTGCCTTCACATTAACAATATCTTCATCTCCTTTATTTAAGAAATTATTCCTTCATGTCATGCTCTATGCACATTTCATTGCCTACTTTTAAATGAGCATAGAGCATGACATAAAGGATTTATTTCGATTCTAATAGGACAAAAACGGTATTTTTATAGGTCTAAGCGTACAAAAATACCTCACAAATGTTTCACTGTTCCCGTTTCCTCCCATGAATTATGTACGTTACATTTTCATATTTTATAAGTTTAAACAATAATTGCAGGGTAAATATATGTTGTTTGAATAACAATATATAACAAATTTTATGTAAACAGCTTAAATATATGTATTTTATAAGTGTACACATGATAATAACAAGAATGTAAACAATAAGTTTGTGCGCATGTGTCAAATTTATGTTGTGCTAATAAAGAAATAAGGACGTCATATTAGAATCTTTATTTAAACACATTCTTTAAATTCAAAACAACAATAATGGGCTTGTAAGGAGTAATGGGAAAATAAAACTATGACAGAAGGTGTGTTCAAAAACTAAAATGGACCTAATTACATAGTTATCTACTTACTAACTATAAACCGTTATATACAGGGAAATAATTCATTTTGAAATATTCTTTATGTAAAATAAAACTCATTTTCATGTACAATTCAGTACTTTGGAGCGAATGAAGTATTAAGTGATGTTATTTTAAACAAATTAGAAACAATGTCCTAAATAACATACACATTTACATGTTTTCCATGTATTGGTGTTTATTGTATGTTCTTTTGTGGTCATTTCCTTAGTCTACTGATTGAGGTACACAAAGTCTTGATATTAAAAAAGAAAGAGTTAAAACCAACCATATTTTCATGTGGCTGTCTCCCAAGACATGAACCACGTCAGAAGGTGTCGTATCTTAATGGTGTTTGGTACTTGGAGAATTAGTGTTTTCGCAGATATTTCATTTATTCAGGTACATTTATTGAAACCGTAATAGACTCGGGACGATTTAGAGCTTAACCTACGGTTTATACACCAGTCCTGTCTATTGTTGATGACTCGGGACGATATAGGGCTTGACATATGGTTTATACACCAGTCCTGTCTATTGTTGATGACTCGGGACGATTTAGAGCTTATTATATGGTTTATACACCAGTCCTGTCTATTGTTGATGACTCGTGACGATTTAGAGCTTAACATATGGTTTATACACCAGTCCTGTCTATTGTTGGTGACTCGGGACGATTTAAAGCTTAACATATGGTTTATACACCAGTCCTGTCTATTGTTGATGACTCGGGACGATTTAGGGCTTGACATATGGTTAATACACCAGTCCTGTCTATTGTTGATGACTCGGGACAATTAAGGGCTTGACATATGGTTTATACACCAGTCCTGTCTATTGTTGATGACTAGGGACGATTTAGGGCTTGACATATGGTTTATACACCAGTCCTGTCTATTGTTGATGACTCGGGACAATTTAGAGCTTGACATAAGGTTTATACACCAGTCCTGTATATTGTTGATGACTCGGGACAATTTAGAGCTTGATATATGGTTTATACACCAGTCCTGTCTATTGTTGATGACTCGGGACGATTTAGGGCTTGACATATGGTTTATACACCAGTCCTGACTATTGTTGATGACTCGGGACAATTTAGAGCTTGACATATGATTTATACACCAGTTCTGTCTATTGTTGATGACTCGGGACGATTTAGAGCTTAACATATGGTTTATACACCAGTCCTGTCTATTGTTGATGACTCGGGACGATTTAGAGCTTGACATATGGTTTATACACCAGTCCTGTCTATTGTTGATGACTCGAGACGATTAAGGGCTTGACATATGGTTTATAATTACTTTTGTCTATTTTGCTAAGAACCTGTCCTTCCTGCATGACAACTATGCTGTTATTCCCCTGCAGATAATTCCCAACAACATCGCTTTTGTGTGTGTTAATCACATCACATAAAATTCTTGATAACGCCATAAGGTATTGACAGTTTATTTGGGAACTCAGTCTATACTCCCACGACACCAACCATAGAGGTTATCCTGAACAATCATAAGTCAGGTCTATGTCCCACGACACCAACCATAGAGGAAATCCTGAACAATCATAAGTCAGGTCTATGTCCCTCGACACCAACCATAGAGGAAACCCTGAACAATCATAAGTCATGTCTATGTCCCACGACACCAACCATAGAAGAAATCCTGAACTATCATAAGTCAGGTCTATGTCCCACGACACCAACCGTAGAGGAAATCCTGAACAATCATATGTCAGGTCTATGTCCCACGACACCACCCATAGAGGAAACCCTGAACAATCATAAGTCAGGTCTATGTCCCACGACCCAACCATAGAGAAAACCCTGAACAATCATAAGTCAGGTCTATGTCCCACGACACCAACCATAGAGGAAACCCTGAACAATCATAAATCAGGTCTATGTCCCACGACACTAACCATAGAGGAAATCCTGAACTATCATAAGTCAGGTCTATGTCCCACGACACCAACCATAGAGAAAATCCTAAACTATCATAAGTCAGGTCTATGTCCCACGACACCAACCATAGAGGAAATCCTGAACTATCATAAGTCAGGTCTATGTCCCACGACACCAATCATAGAGGACATCCTGAACTATCATAAGTCAATTATATGTTCCTTTGAAAGAAGAACTGGAAAATCCTTCACTGTTGGATATAAAAATTAAATATGTTTCCTAAAAAACAATGTTACATTGCTGTATCTGTCAAGTGCTCAACGAAACTTCTTTCCAAATTACCAAGATCAACTTTATCAGCAATCAAAGCTAGTCTTTAGAGTAACTGTAAAACTGTGAATCGTTGCTAATTACTACAAAATTCCAAAGATCTATTAGAGTTCATACAATCTAAGTCTCTTTCAACTTGCAATAGTATAAAACATTTGACTTTTCTACACTTTATTCTAATATTACCCGTCCAAGAATTAGTCCAACTTGATTCAAATGAAATATTCCCTAACTGACATCATCGAGATGCTTGTTTTTTTTTATTGACAATATATATGTTACGTTATGAGGACGTTCCTATGGAAATCAACTGTTGCCCTCGAATTTGAACGACTTGTTCCTTTAACCAGAAGCTTCTCGGAAAGAACGAAACGAAGAAACGTCGGTGTTGATTAGAATGACACCATTCCAGGCCCTTTTGTTTTCTACAAAATTAATATTACCATTGATTAACAAGTTCCGGGTCGACGGGTTCAAAAAGAAAGATTTTGAAAGCAGAAAAAAACTGCGCATCTTATAATCAGCATGACTTTATCAGATGACAATACGAACACTAAAAATCCAGCCTAGAAATAAGTAAGTACTTTAATTCAGTCACGGACCCGCGATGTCGCGGTAGTGTTCTAGTTTATAAAAAATGAACGTATCATTGATACTTTATGTCGAACCTATTGAGCAAAGTGCTGCAAGCGGTGAAGTTGAAGTCCTTCCTTCCAAAGTTTTACGGACGCTATCAAGAGTTTATTGCCGGTTATAGAATATATGTGTCATGGATGACCACGGAAATGTTCCAATTGTTGTAACCACATTTTGAAAGAAGGAAGTACTTTTCATTAGCCTTTGAACTTGAATTGATGGAAATTAAACCTTGTGAATATTTGATTAAATTTTTAAGATTTGATCAAAAGTTGTTCAAATACTTATTATGATATGTGAACGAACGTAGTCTCTACGAACACACTCTTGTAAACTTTTACAGGGCTTGAATTTGTTTTTTGTATACAAGGAAATGGATTTAACATACTCAAAATATTTATGTTTTCTGATGATTTTTTGGATAATATCAGTAGATACCTATCTGAAACGTAAGTTATAAAACTCATTATGACATAATTTTCATTGTAATATCATTTAGTAAAAATTATTGATGAAATTGAGATAAATTCGGTTTATTCTGGCTATTCCTACATTTTGAAAATATGGGTAAAATAGTAAGATTTTATTTTTGAGTTCCCAGAATTTTCATGTAAACAATGGGATTATGTAGGATTATGTTGTAACAACACTAAACTAATGAACCAAGGTAAATCCAGGTAAATCTTGTGGAAAATAAAGAAAAAGAATAGTTTCTATTACAATATTTTATTTAATAATTTCATAGCACATTTGGTGTAAATAATATTCAAAATAATAAAATGACAAATGTAAAATAATTCAAACGAGAAAACTAACGGCTTATTTATGTACAAAATAATGAACAAAAAACAAATATGTTACACAGCAACAAACGACAACCACTGAATTACAGAAAAAACTAATTTTCAAAAAATCAAATTATAAACAAAATAAACAAATTAACGGAAACCATTATTCCACAGTCTTGGTAGACAAAAAGACAGCGAGTTATTGTTTATACGAAGACTTGAAAACAGAGATATACTAAAAGTTCAAAATTTGGAGATCAAAGACAAAGTGCGGCCATAAAGAATGTGGCGGGGTTAAACTCGTTTGAAGGCGCCAACTTTCCCCCTAACTTGGGACAGTGGTGTAACAGTACAACATAAGAACAAACGATAAAAATCAATTGAAAAGGCTTAACTCATCAGATGGATACAAACAGAAATACATCTAACAAAAACACAGCGTGGACGTGGCAGGGTACTTGTATATCCCAACAACAAAAAGACACTAAGTACAGATCTGAGAGAACTCGCAGTTACTGACAGCTAGTTCAAAGCCAATAACAACTAATAAAAAAATCATGCATCTAAGACTAAAATTTCAATCAGTACACATCCAACATCCAATGAATTTAGAGTAAAGACGTCATAAAGTCTGTCATCTATTTCTCTGTATTTTCTCTTTCTTGGAACACGTTTCCAACGGATCTGTATTGGATAAGTGTGAGAGAATGGAAGGCTTCTTTTTGTCTCAACAACTTGATCATGCTGAAGATGTTTGGGTGAGGTGCATTGACTAACTTCTTCAGTTTACTATGCCAACCTTCTAAATGATTTGTTGTTCTAGGACCTTCTGTTTTTGTTTAAAAAATCATAATTTATTCAAATAATGAAATTAATTAAATCTTTGAAGATAAAATTGAAAGTGTAGGTAACTATTAAATGCTTTAGCTAACTTTTCTTTTAAATAGTTTTTTCCAGACTTTTAAATGCTGTTACTACTTTTTCTTTTAAATAATTTTATTTTCCAGACTACTAAATGCTTTTACTACCTTTTAAAAAAAAAAAATATTTTCTAGAAATTCCATATTAGAAACACTTAATTTTAACACTTGATTCATGTTTTCAAACAAAAAAAAAGACAACCATTTTTTATACATAAATTTCATATGAATAACTATTTTTATTTAATTTCCACAGGCAAAGTTACCTGTGACCTAATTAGACACTAATGACTAAAACAACATATTTTGCAATGACATCTATTGTTCTTCCCATAATCCCATGTAGGAATAGCCAGAATAGTAAAATACAAAATGTAGGAATAGCCAGAAGGGTGTCTTCAACGTATGCCAACATTTGAAAAATATATATTCAACCTATGGGTGTCATCCTGGTTTGCCCACTTTTAATTACATGCATATGTAAACATAGGGGGAATTGTTGTTTTAACAATTATAGTTTATTTCTGAAGGTTTACTCCTGGTTTGCCCACTTTTAATTATATCAATTATCTATTAGTAAAGAAAACAAAAAAGACAAAAGGTTTAATGAGCATACAATTGTATAGTCTGTTCCAACTTAGGTATTTAGTTTATTAGTGTTTTCTATATATTCAGGTATTTTTTTATTTTGTAATTCCATTTTCATTTGTATAGAAAAATAATAAATAAATCAAATATTTTTTCTCAATAATTTAATATCAATTCAATCGATTCATTTAACAAACATGTACAACTAATGACAAAACAATGAGATTCAGTTATAAAAGTGTCTTTATAATTCATTAGTTTCTGAATGATTTTCATGATATAAATACACCAATGCAAGTTCTCTTTTATTTCAAACATAATTTATATAATATATGAATCAAGTTTATAAATACATTGCATAAGGAAATAAATAAAGCATTATGGTAAAATAAGTAATATGGGGCTCTATGTGTATAATGATGGGAAATACAATCTTTTATATATACATCAAAAGTCACAAAACATTATATTTACAAAGTCACAAATTACTTGCGTAGCTTGACAAATTCATCCTCATAGATTGATTGTATAGGAGTAACTTCTTTCTAAATCTTGGCCCGTTGTTTCATAGTCTGCATTATTTTTATCACCTCTATCTTAGATTGGTTGGCTTGATGGTTGTGTGGTGGAAATAATTTGACTAAATGATTGTAAACTGTTGAAGGGCAGGCTGGAATAGAACATCTCCAGTAAACTCTGTTGTTTCTTTTGTTTTTCACTCTGTAACGATGGCCTCCTAGGACCAAACTTTCTCTACCAAACTTATTCTGTACATACTGAAGTTGTTGAACTTGTGCATTTGCCATACTTGGTTTGATTGATTCGAATCTAGTCTAAACTAAATTTGGGTTAATGACGACTACCCTGTAGGGTATTGCGCCAGATTATCTTATAATATAAAAATTATTAAATTTAATATTTATGTTTACAAATACTTAGCGTAAAAAAGAAATTGCTTGTAGTTGTTTGTGAGTCGTACTGATTAATTGGTTAATAAAAGTATCGGAGTATTACTTTTAGTATATTTAATGATTTATGAAGAGTTAATTATCTGAGATAAAAATAGTCGAAAATAGTAAATATGTTAAAAGCTTCAAATTGATCAATTATTGATATGATTGAATTAGTAAAATTTTGGTGGAAAGTTGAGTGCTTTATAAAATGCATAATGCAAAAGATAAAGACTAATATTTTTATATTAAAAATATCTCTTTACCTGACATGTTCTCAGAAGTGCGCATATTTGCATTAATACAAGTACACCGCGGCTCATATGTCCTTAGTGAATTGTGATTATCTGCATGCTGTGGATTTGACAAAATTATACCTTTATTATATATATAAAAATATATATGTGTGTGTGTGTGTGTGTGTGAGAGTGCGTGTGTATGCGTGTACATATATATATTTAGATTTATGATACTGTTGAGGTTTGTAGTTAATGCTTACTTAGTTATTATTCAAGGATTTATTGACATCTTTTTGTATCTGCTGTGTGCAGTGTGAATTATTTTAAACATTGATTCGAATGTAAGACAATTTCATATTTATAATACAATAATTTGTGACAACCGCTTACAAAAGTGTCAGAAATTATTAACAGCTTGGGTAAATTGTAAAAATTGTAAAAATTGATTAAAAACTTAACAATCATGATTATTATTTGAAAGATATTTTATTGTTGTTTTTTTTTAAGAAGAAAATGCTAGCATGGATGCAGATTACTGTTCAAATTGTGTAATATTTAAAGCTTGGCTACCGAACAGTTGCATTTATATTCTATTTGTTAGATTTCAGAACAGTGTATTTATTAAAAATTTGAAAAAATAAGTTGAATAAATAAAATACAAATTCAAATGACATTTATTCTTATCTTTAGTTTCATTATTTTACTTTTTACTTTTTTTTTTAAATGTACCAATAATTAAAACTATTTGTTGATAAATTGTAAAAATAATAAACATTTTTGTACACATTTTTTTCTATTTTTTTTTCTATTTGTCAAATTAAATACATTTTCCTGCTAAAAACCATATCAAATATAGAATATTTTTGCACATTTTCAAATGTATTTTGTCAAATCCACAGCATGCAGATAATCACAATTCACTAAGGACGTATGAGCCGCGATGTACTTGTATTAATGCAAATATGCGCACTTCTGAGAACATGTCAGGTAAAGAGATAAATTTAATATAAAAATATTAGTCTTTATCTTTTGCATTATGCATTTTATAAAGCACTCAACTTTCCACCAAAATTTTACTAATTCAATCATATCAATAATTGATCAATTTGAAGCTTTTAACATATTTACTATTTTTGACTATTTTTATCTCAGATAATTAACTCTTCATAAATCATTAAATATACTAAAAGTAATACTCCGATACTTTTATTAACCAATTAATCAGTACGACTCAATGGATTAAGGAAAAAAAAACTCACAAACAACTACAAGCAATTTCTTTTTACACTAAGTATTTGTAAACATGAAAATTAAATTTAATAATTTTTATATTATAAGATAATCTGGCGCAATACCCTACAGGGTAGTCGTCATTAACCCAAATTTAGATTAGATTAGATTCGAATCATTCAAACCAAGTATGGCAAATGCACAAGTTCAACAACTTCAGTATGTACAGAATAAGTTTGGTAGAGAAAGTTTGGTCCTAGGAGGCCATCGTTACAGAGTGAAAATCAAAAGAAACAACAGAGTTTACTGGAGATGTTCTATTCCAGCCTGCCCTTCAACAGTTTACAATCATTTAGTCAAATTATTTCCACCACACAACCATCAAGCCAACCAATCTAAGATAGAGGTGATAAAAATAATGCAGACTATGAAACAACGGGCCAAGATTTAGAAAGAAGTTACTCCTATACAATCAATCTATGAGGATGAATTTGTCAAGCTACGCAAGTAATTTGTGACTTTGTAAATATAATGTTTTGTGACTTTTGATGTATATATAAAAGATTGTATTTCCCATCATTATACACATAGAGCCCCATATTACTTATTTTACCATAGTGCTTTATTTATTTCCTTATGCAATGTATTTATAAACTTGATTCATATATTACATAAATTATGTTTGAAATAAAAGAGAACTTGCATTGGTGTATTTATATCATGAAAATCATTCA